ATGTGTGTGTGTGTGTGTGTGTGTGTGTGTGTGTGTGTGTGTTTGTGTGTGTGTTTTACTGTCCCACAGTCCACTGGAGCATTTCAGGCTCTTATGATGCGGGACGATTTCAGAAGTCTTTCATTCAGTGTAGACTTCCCTGCTGAAGTAAGAGGTGCTGAGTATCAGTAACAGTCAATTTACAAGGTTTTCTTTAAATTTTCTTTGAATTGTTTTTATTTATTACCAAAAACCGTACCGACCGGAGTGAGTTGAACTGCACAGATTAGAAAAATATTAATAATAATCTTCCAATCTGAAGTAAGATTGTCATTGAAATCTTTCCTCACAGGTGTAGACGGGTTTCATTCATTGAATGTAGGTGAAATCACTGTATCGTGCAGTAGAGTAGATGAACTGATCATATGAAATATTTATTAAAATGTCAGTTTGTATTTGACCGGTGACGTCATTATTGTGCCTAATCTGAGTCATCATGCTCCATCTGGACTGAGCTTGCTTAAAGGTTTGTAACATGCTCGAATTAAAGCACCGTCGCTTTGTTTCATTCACTAATGGATTATTTATTTTGTCAATATTCTTAATTTAAAGTAGCCTTTTTGTCGTCTGTGCAATTAGTTTTTTGGGGGTTTATTTGGCTCTGATCACAGTGTTTCCTTCAGCCTCATTCCCTAGTGTGGCAGGAATGGTTTGACCCGCGGTACTCGTCACACGTGTAGCCTCCTGTCCTGTGCCTTCACTGTTTTCTGCTGACACCATGTCAACGCGTGCACCTTAAACAAAGCGGAAAATGTGTCGACTCGGCTCCTTTCTCCGAAGCCTTCGCTCTGCGGAATATCTGGTCTCTAGTGTAATCCCTGGTCGCTCTTGTCCTTATGAGAATGACCCTGAAATTCAGCCGGGCTGTGACTCATTTGCAGCCCTACACACACACACGCATCCTCTTTCCAAGGTCTTCTTATCAGCAAGGACAGATTGGGCAGGTTATCTGAACAATGATTCAGGCTTCAGCTGTTTTACATTGATGACTGATTGCCTTGTCGAGCGTGGATGGGTAACGGCTCACTATGTATGATAATGTGCAGTACATACAAGTAGCTCGATGTACTGTATGATTTTAAAAAAAAAAAAAAAAAAAAAAAAAAACACATTGATTCGCCCCCCCCCCCACCTTGATGCACATGATGCTCATGTCATTAGCGCATGTCATCCTGCAGTCAAGTTTAAAGTGGCCTTTAGCTAATGAAAAAGCAAACAAAACTAAACAAACATAGCACACAGTTTGTACATTTCAATAGGCAAGCTTATGACAAAGCAACAGAAAAGACCAAGGCTTTTAGTACTGCACTGTGAAGGAATAGTTTGATGTTTTGGGAAATATGCCTATTCACTTTCTTGTTGAGAGATGACAGAGTTGCATGGTATTTTTATTTTCCTAAACTGCCAGGCCTAACCTGGGACTTCAGGTTTTACCCAATAAAATTCCGATGTTTAATATGAACACTTTTAACTCGCAGGAAGTGAAATATTTAGCACAGAGCAAGCCCTTAGCAGGCTTTACGTCTCTATGATTTAAAGTTAATATGCTGTAACCATACTCGCTCATTGTGCCGCCCTGTATTGTAACTAGCCGCGTGCTTTGCCACACCGATGTGGAAGCAGCTCTGTCACTGATCTCTGTTTCCCTTCATGTCTCAGGTGTGGGCGCTGGGCGCTGGCCAGACTGGGTGACGTGAGAACTGAGAGGGAGACCTGTTGAGAAACAACACCTGGGACTGCTGGGGGGGACCTCTGTGCAGGCGAGTCTGACGGAGACGGGAACATTATTTCATGTAATGTAAAAGGAACAAAATATAGACAATTTATGTTTTAGCATAATTCTATCATTCAAACTAAGATGCGTATTATACAGGCTGGATCTTAATGTCTACAAAATGATATCCTTTTTCCTTTTCCTAACCAGAATTAGATTAGTTTGTACCCTGCATGTCAGCTTGTCCCGATATTCCAGGTCATATCATTTACTCCATATTGTTCCTCATCAATCTATCTCTGTGGCCCAGATAACAAAAGAGAGCAGTGACGTGGGAGGGAAATGAGAAGTGAGAACGAGCAGTAGTCAGAGGGGATGTTTCCACTTAAATCATATTAAAGTGAGATATGAAAAAGGAGATATGATACAGGCCGTAGGGGGCATCTGCAGACAGTATGGAGATGTGAACGGATTAGTTTTTAATAACGCATCTTTGTGTGACTAGGTTCACGCGGCCGTCGGCAGGGTGGAGCTTCCTGACCCATGGAGAATTACTTCCAGGCCGAGGCCTTTAACCTGGATAAGGTGCTGGACGAGTTTGAGCAGACCGAAGGTGAGACGATCTTTAAAAAATAAATAAAATTGATGTGGAGACGAACAATGAGTCACTGTGCTTGAGAAACGACAAATGGGACAAGGTGTATCTGTGGGGTTGAATTTTCACCGAAGTTGTGGTCAGGTTATGTAAGCCATGTCACGGTTGCTGACGATCGGCCACCACCCGATGAGTGTGAGTAACATCTACAGTTGGTGTTTGAGGGTGTGCAGAGAGGGAATAGGACTAATTGTTTTATCAATTTCCCTTTGGGCTTGTGTGAAACTGTGTAATTGATGCAAGACAATAGCCTCTTTTTTTTCTTCTTCACACTTAATGCTCACAATAAGTAAATAAATTGTGTTAGGGCCTATTTTAAAAAGTGCTTTCATAGAGTTTATTTATGGTTATCGTAAAGTAAACGCACTAAGCTGTGTATCTGCAGACTCGCAGCTTTTTTTTCCTTCTGGATTTATGGCTGATGATGACCCCAGAAAAATCCCAGTCTTCCACACGCAGCATATTTTTGATGGCTCTGTGAGCTCAGTGTGTGTTTTGGCTGTGAGTGATTATCTGTGTGTCCTCTGCCAGAGATCTAGCTTGGCAGATTAACTCTGTGTGAGTGAATGAACCTGCTTCAGCACATACTAGAACAGCTTAGCATAAATTCCAGCGGAGGGAGGAGAGCGCCATACAGTAGCTGACATCACCTGGTGAGAAGGTCCTTTTTGAATATATATATATAT